ACTAGACCTCTGGGCTGAAAAGACTTTAAGTAGAGTAGCTTTATACAAGTTGTGATACCTTATATAACTTATAGTGATGACTCCACAGGGAATTATCAGCCTGTAGTTCTGCTCATTTTTATGGAGTGTTTTACTGCCTCTCTGCTCATTGTTTTGGTCTTAGCTTTACTACTTTGGTTCAGTGTTTTTAATCAAGCTTGTTTCTAGCAGTGGGACGCAGCTTGGATGAGGAGCTGCAGGTGATGGGTGCTTTGTTTGTTATTTTAAGTAAATTCAATATTCAACACCTACTGTGTCCCTGGAAAACACGGAAAACACAGAAAACATTTCAGACTATGCTGCATCATGATTTCTCTTAATGCTTTTTTTTTTAAACAATTATTAGTCAATCATCAGTTTTTAGCAACCCTACTTTAAACCTAGTCCTGATCCAGTTGCTAAAGTAGCAAGAGATGTTGGAGACATAATTGTTGGTTGAAGAAAAGTCTGGAAAAAAAGCTAGTACGTCTGTCAATTTGGGATTGTTTTACTTAATCCTTTAAAGAAGTAAGACATTTTGGGAATATGCCTATTTGCTTCTTCCCATGAACCAGCACATCTAAATCTCATTAATCAACAAATTTTGTCTTGTTTGTTTAATCCATACAAAAATAGGAGTAGGTTGGTGGATTTTGTTACCTCTGGACAGGTTTTGTGTTCAGCTAAGCTAACCAACTGTGGGCTCTAGATTGATATTTACAGTGCAGACATAAAAGTAGTATTGAGCTTCATGTAAAGTCTCTGCAAGTCTCTCACTGTGCTTTAAAGGTGGTACGAAGCGTGTAAAATCAAACAAGACAAAGGATTTCTCTGTCATGATTGAACTGAATTATTGTATATATAAATTTCCCCTGCGTGTTACTTTATGAAACACCTTATGTTTGTTTTTCTGCCTTGGCAAGAAAAAAATAAGTGAACCCTCTCTAATTACCTGCATTTATCTAAAAAATGTTTTAAAATATGGTCAGATCCTCATTTAAGTAAGAATAATGACTAAACACAATCTGTTTTAACTAATAACATACACATTTTTGTATTGTTTGTGTCCATACTGAATATGACATTCAAACATTCACAGTATAGGTTATAAAAACGAACTCATTCGGCTAATGACATCAACAAAAGCTAGATGGAGTAAGGAGTTAGTGAGCCTGGAGTTGAATCGATGAAACCAGATTGAAGGTGTGGTTAGGGCTAGTTTATAACTTAAAATGCCATTTTGAGTTTGCTGTTCCCAAGAAACTGTTAATGTTAACCATGTTTTGGAAAAAGAGATCGTAGAAGACTTATGATCAAGAATCATTTGCATAAAATCTGACTGTTGTTACAAAGTGATCTCAGGGAGTTGAGATTTTCCTCAATCTACAGTTATAAGTGGACATAATTTACTACTCTGGCTGCTCTCTGTAGAACTGGGTGCCAGCAGAGAATGCTCAGTGAGGTGCAGAAGAAGAGTAACAACAAAAAGCTTGAAGGAATCAGTGGAGCTGGTTAACATCTTTGTTTATGAATCTGCCACATGCTAATCATGGTGCATAATGTCCACTGCAGGACACCACAGAGATAGATGCTGCTCGCCCAGAAACATCACTGCACACCTTGGCACTTCACAAAGCTACTGGGAAAATATTTTGTGTACTGGTGAGGTTAAATTGTTGTGGAAGATCACAAAGCTCTTTGTGTGGCGTAAAAAAGCAACTGCACACCAACTGTGAAGTTTTTGTTTTGTGACTTGGATGAAGATCAGATCACATTTTATGAGCAGTCAATGCAGAAAACTTGGTTATTCCAAAGGATTCACATCCTTTTTACCTCAGTTAAGCTGCAAAAAATATTTTTTACTATCCAGTAAGTTTGTATTTTAGACACGTTTCCTCTAATGTGGTGATCTTGAACTGTAATAAGTAGGACACAGGTTACTAGAGAGTTCCTCACTTTAGAAGAAGCATAGAAAAAAACACCGCAAAATTGAATCAATATGGTCCCTTTATTGCCCTGTTACCTGCAGAATATAGGGGCAGTTTCCCAGAAAGACAAGATTTCTCAACACTTTTGCTTTGAAATCTGAACCAGTGGCTGTCTGGTTGTTCATTGTTCTAGATATGTCTCCACTGACCCTTCAACAGCTGCCTGTAACTCCTTACTGTGCACTGTCATCTGCTGGTGGAAAACAAAATAGCCAGGGAACACAATGCTGGTCCCAGTGATGAAATGTAGCTGGAGTGAGAGTAAAAAAAAAAAAAGCACACTTTTGTCTTAACTGATCACTTATTATCTTTACTTTACTAATTTATTAGCCAAAACATTTGTATGAATGGATGGATATTAATTGTTATATTTAAGTTATTTATCAGGAAGCACAGCAGCATGGTGGTTAGCGCTGTCGCCTCACAGCAAGTAGGTTCTGGGTTTGAACCCGCACTAACCCTGTACCTTACTGTGCAGTGTTTGCATGTTCTCCCTGTGCCTGCATGGGTTCTCTCCGGGTACCCTGGCTTCCTTCCACAGTCTAAAGACATACAGGTTAGGTTGATTGGTGTCTCTAAATTGCCCATAGGAGTGAGTGTGTGCGGTATAGATAATGGATGGATGGGAAGTAATTTCTCAAGCAAAATATGCATTTGTTGTTTCTAGCTGCTCCAATATGATGTTTTTTTGCATTTTTTTTCTGTTTATGAAAATACAGTGTTTTAAACGTTGATCAGAAAAATTAAGATGCCAGCTTTTGCCTTGAGAACTGTTGATGGAAAGCTTTTACTATTTTCTGACATTTTACAGACTATCCATCCATTATCTATACCGCTTATTCCTGAACAGGGTCGTGGGGGCACTGGAGCCAATCCCAGCCGACACTGGGCGAGAGGTGGGGTCCACCCTGGTCAGGTCGCCAGACTATCACAGGCTATGCTGTCCCTTTTACAGACTAAACAACTTAAATGTTGAATAATCAAAAGTTGTTAGTTGCAGCCCTTTTAAGAATGCACTCCACATATGACTTGGTTTGGTGTGAGATTTAACTTTATTTAAACACAGTTTTTCCATTATAAAATTAATTCATGCAATATTTTTGGGCACAGTCATTTGTAACCTTTGAAAATCAGTCTACAAGTCGTCAAATTAATTAGGCTAAAACTGTTTTGAGAGGGAATATGACAAAGATTAAATAATAAAACTGATAACTTGTCAAATGTTAAAACCACTTTCATTTTGAGGAAAAGTAAAGATATAGTAAATAAATATAGCACCATTTCAGAGGAAAGAACATTGGAGGAAACAGGAACCTTCAGGTTTGGGAATTACATGACCTGCTGATAATTTCAATATTAACTGTAGTTCACTTGGTTCCTGTAGTTAATTACAACAAAGTGACTTATAGGATGAATTTTAGAATAGTTACTGATAATCAGTCCATCCCCAGCCCTGCAGAGGACAAATTTGCATCAAGGACAATGTAGAATCCAGTTTGACATGAAGCTTTTAACTTCTAAATAAAGACAATACAGAGTAGTAGTGAGATAATATAGAACATCAACATAAAGACAAACATGGGGCTTCAGCATGAGTTATTGCACTAAGTAATGCCAGCATCATTCATTGGCTATACAGACTTCTGCTGGGAGGAAATTGTTTTAGTTTAGGTGAAAGTATTTTTTTAAGGCAACCGTTATGTTACTTCTGTGGCCTCAAGTTTTTATTATAATCATGTCTCAGCTGACAAAATATGCAAGTATAATAGGCTATGTAAGAAAATGACACAAGAGGGAAAAGCTTTAGTTTTTAAGCTAAAAGGGGAAGAACTAAAGTCAAGTTTAGTCAAGTCAAGTTGCTTAGTGGTTTTGCTCAAAAAATTACCAGAGGGAGGCGCTTTAGTCCTGCAAAAGTTGAGAGACAAAAGGTAAAGGATCACCTTACAGATGATACTTCACAAAGCTAAGCAGGGCTCTTCTGTTGAAATTCATAGCAGCTGTTTATGTCATTACATGCCCCCCCGTATACTACATATAGCTGATGAACATCCAAAATAGATTTTGCTTTTCTCCTCTTACCGAGAACTTTAGGTGTGTCAATAGTAGGATCATTCAACTTGTACTGTAGGGTCTAATATACATTAATGCAATGTTTTCTTTCATTTCCTGAACTGCTAACACTTCAGGAGTGAGGTTTCATCTTTTTTTTTAATCTATCAGAATCATTTCCAACTCATTCGTTATACTGTAAAGAGAAAGAGGATGTTGACAGTTTCAGAGCTGTCTAGAGCTCTCAGTTCTGGCTTTCTACTTCTTTCTGAAGTTTCCGAGCTGAAGACCCCGCCGTCCAGCCACACAGCGAAAGGTGGCTGGCTGGATGTCCCAGTATTTAACAGGGTTAGCATACAGACTGATGGCTGTGTACAGGTTCTTCTTGGCACTGTGACTGATGGGACAGAAGTCATTGATTCCCACGCTGCTGATTTTGTTGCCATGGAGGAAAATTACCTGAAAACAAAGAGGATTTATTTTATAATCAGGTTATTTTTTCTGCTTCGTCAGTAAACCAATTGTGATTGGGAATTTGTTCTAATGCTGCTTTACTGCTTTGGAAACCCAGAATCACAACCCTTAGACCAGGAAAGAAAGGCTGGAATAGTGCACAGTTTGGAAAGTTTGGTATCTTATAATTCCAGGTTGCTGAATTGAAGGAAATTGATGCATCTGAGATGGCTTAAATGATCGAATTATTTATTCTAACAACCTTAACAACTGACATTGAACACTAAGAAAACCAAAGAACTGTTTACAGATTTCAAGAAGCACACTGCAGGATCCCCTCCCATTACTTATAAATGGAGAGCTTGTGGAGAAGGTTCAGAATTTAAAATTTCTTGGCACCCATATCGCCGATAACTTCACCTGGTCTGTCAACATCACAGAGGCCCAGCAGTGTATGCACTTTCTGAGACTGCTGAAAAGGAACTGTTTGAATGAACTGTTTCTGGTGACGTTCTACCACTCAGCATCTACTTGAGCTACACTATGAGATTTGGGAAAATCCTTGTTTGCTGCTCGCCCCACCCTCCCAATGGTTGCGATTGAGTTTTTGAATCACCCTAACTCTACTATCCACTAAACCCTGATCTGTTTTGTGACTTGTACTACAGTCTGCTGATAGTGATCAAGGTGCTAGATTTCCTACAGCGTCTGTATTTCACCTGGAGATAGCGTAGGGAGTTGAGGCCCGGAGGGACCTTTTTCAGGCGATTGTTGTCCAGGTGGATCTCACGGATGCTTGGGGTGCTGATAAAGCTGCCGTTTTCTACAAACTTGATCTGGTTAAAACCAAGTCCTAGTCTGCAAAGGTATTTAACAAGAATCACTACTTATGAATAAGAGGCAGCAGAAATGAAGTGATTAAAAAAGTTTTACACATCAGATTGATAAACATTGTTATATTTTCACTTATTTTTAACTTGCACATAAAGAAGACAAAGCCGCTGCAGTGTAATAGAGCTAAAAACATCTTAAGCGTAGGTTTTTGTTTAAAATTACCAGAGATCTTAAATGATGCACATAATGTGATAGGAAATATTTGCTAACAAATCACATTAACATATATGTACAACATTCTAGAGATGAGTATCTAGTTTCTGCATCACGACCTGCACCAAAGCTCAGCTTACTGCAAAATGTCTTTACAAATGTCACTTTCTAGGACAAAATTCATCTGTTTTTTTCACCTCTGCAGGTTTTTATATCTGATGAAATCTTCTACTTCCACCTTCGAGATCTTGTTGTAATCCAGGCTCAACTCTGTGATGGAGGTTGGAAGGTCTGGGAGAAATAAAACATACCAAACATGACCAATGAAAAGGCTATACCAAGCCTCCTTTAGTTCGTGACTCTTTTTCAATAATTATTTGGAAACAAACCACTTAAAGTGTCATATTATCAGACATTAGCAGTGTTTATGCCTCATTTACTTCTACAGTTGTGGTCCAGTGTAGTAAGACTTGAGATGGCTGACTGGAGGATACACAAGTTACCTTTCATTTTGTTAAATCAGCATAACATGAGGTGAGTCTACCTTTTGGTACAGCAGTCAGTTTGGCCTCTGCCATACCGACGTACAGGGTCGACAAGCCGTTAAAAGCTCTTAGCTCAATCCCGCTGTTGGACAGAGGGTTGGCGCCCAGCTCTGTTTGGACAAGCATAAAATATCTGTTATTGATCCATGATATCTCTTGATTATGGTAGAGAACATACATCACGTGCATTATTATTTGTTGTAATTATGTTTTTATCACTTGCTCTTAGAGATTGGTCGACTTTGTCTGCATATTATTCTTCTATAAAATAATTTATCAAGACCTTAGTCGTCTCACTTTTTTACTTTATTTTTAAAAATTATTTAATTGTTTTAATCGCGTAAATTACCAGATTTTTAGTCCTTTTAATCAATAATTAATTAGAGGAAACTGCAGGATAAAACTATTGAATCCACATGCTACGTGTATGTGGACACATTCTCAAACATGTACACTTGATATAGTTGTTGGCGTGTTCTTCATACAGGCCCTTAAAGACAAGACTAGATTAAATTTCTGTCATGCAGACTGGCTCATACTGTGTATATGGATTCAGAAGGGATCATGTGGACCTCTCATGGTTATGGGAACCGGTCACTATTGTTTCATAGACAAAAAAGGAATGCTATGTGAGTTTGTCATACATTGCCAAAACTTGTTTGGAAAGAGGTCTAGGTTAATGGTTTGCAAAATGGCTGACTTTGACGCCACAAGGTTAATGTTCCTTTAAATATGATATACCCATGATTGTGATATTTTATTTAGTATAACCAAGTAGATTTAGCTTCCTTACTCTATGTCCAACTAGGCAAAGTGTCTGGAAGACACTGGAAATCTTAATGGTTGTTTAACCGTCACTACCATATTTCCCCAGCTTTAAGCCATTATTTGCCTAAACCTAAACCAAAACTCAGTCATGGAGGTGGCAGATCAGAAAATACTCAAATGAATAAATGGTCATATGGATCATTTAGCAAAGCAGTGGTAAACAACCTGTTGTGTGGTGTGGGTCTGAATATTTAACTGCTCCAAATCTGCAGTTTACCATTCAAAACAAATACTACATTGTAACGGTGTATTCTTTACTTTGCTCTGGTTGAATGCCTGTTGCATTATTTGGGCTGAAAGGACTGGTGCTGTAACACCTGTCTTTGAGAGAATGTGTGTTATTCATAATCTGATACAAGAAGCTGAAACTCATACCTAGCACGTGGAGTTTCCTCAGCCCTTTGAATGCATCCTTCTGGATTTTGCTGATCATGTTTTCATGGAAGCGGAGCTCAATGACGTTGGGAGGCAGGTTTGCAGGGATCTCAGTCAGTAGGTTGTAGGAGAGGTACAGCAGTTTGAGATTGTTCATGTTTCTGAAAGCCCTGGGATGAATCTTAGAAATCTTGTTGTTGATCAGAAACAGGCCCTGATGTGAGTGAAAACTAGAAAAGCTTATTAGATTCAAGCTTTTTTTCAAGTTTTGCTGCAAATATTTCAAGAATTTTTTTTGTCTAACATTCTAAATTCAACTTCTGTAAGACAAGATTAAGAATATGTATGGTTTTATTTGACACTTTCATCTAAAAGAATCACAACATGCCTTGTATTTATGGTTTTGTTTTTTGGTTAGAACATATTTTCATTTCTTTTTTTGTAAGATAAATAAGCTGTAATTAAAACTGGAATCAGGGAGCACAATTGAAAATCAGTTGGATATAAACGATACTCAACTTGGTGCTGATTCAGCCACAGAACTTCCAGCAATGTCTGGGCCATAGTACAGAGCTGTAGCTGCAGATTGTTTTCATTGTCTGCTGTGACACAGTACAGAGTTTATACCTCGATGTGGGTTATTTGCAGCTGGGAAAACAATAACTAGATCAAAGACAAACCCACTCCTACTTGTCAGCTGTGATATTCATACAGACGGCCTGTCATGTCATAAGGCTCCAGGCAACATTTGGCTGAAATTAGTGGGTTGTTTGTTCTTATCTGGTAACTTAAAGAATCTTAAGAGCTACAAGATGGTATTGTCAACTTGTAGGATGAAGATGAATGGACAAAATCTACACATGTTATTGCTGTAGTAGGAAGTCTGGAGCTGTTGTCATGCTCTGAAAGTATGAACACCTGTGCAGTAGAAGAACTGGAGGATGTAAATATAGATTTGTGTTTTTGAGAGCTGAGGTCTAGTGTTAATTTTTAGCCACATCAGGGCCATGACTATTGTCTTTTACTCACATAAAACTTGCCAGTTCATTAACAATTAATTTATAGAATGTAAAAAATTATTTTTACACATTGCAGAGACTGCTTTTGTTTCATTTCAAAAGACAGGCACCAATACAGTGATGCACATACGGATTTGTTTCCCATGCATTGCTGGAGGCAGAATGTTGATGACACAGTGGAGCACTCGTTTTTTTTTGTCTCGTTGAAACTGAGCATTGAAGCAATTATTCTTGAAGGCTTATCCCTGATCTGCTGTGGTTTGAAATGTATTTCATTTAAACACTGCTTTGGACAAGAACATTTACCAGATCAGCAAATATAATTAGAAATGTTGAGACCGATTACATGCAAAACTAATGCAGCCTCAGCTTTACTTTGTTTTTTTTTTTTTTTTAATTATTAGCTTACTGTGCCTAAACACAGCCTCACAGAGCCACTAGCATGACTGTAGACTCCTCGTGTTATTAGCAACAAAGTTGTAAAGAAGCTATTTTACATGCAGGTCTTGTTAAAGCTCGAGGTAGTAGGTCCCATCTTCAACTAGCCAAGTGGTGTGCGACTGATTTTCTTGGTGGTCAACAAGAAAAATGGAATGGTATTGAATTTGTCAGCCTTAATATGCAGGGGAAAGACTGACTTTTCTAAATATTTTGTTTAGATTAGTGGATTCCATGAAATAGATACTCGAAATGTTATATAACAGTTCTTGCATCAGGACCGTTTCAGTTGCATGTAGTACATGTGACTGGAAAGTATTTGCTCGTCTAGTTTGTTTTCATCTGTTGGATTAATTTCATTCTTTGCCTGTCTAAATGCACAAATATGCCTTGTGCATACCCTCTTGCGTATGCAGACATGGACAAGGGGCACGCAAGCATTCCTATACTTCAAATCGAGGGCCTGCCTTCTGTCCGCGTCCACCGATGGTTTCTGAGCACTGAAGCACATGCGCAGTCAGAGCTTTTGCTATGTGTACTGTCCATGCGAACATAAACTTTTGGCCTGTACACGATTGTCCTGCACAGAGTCTACATGGACCCTCGTGGACCTGGGAAGATGACGAAAATTATGCCACTTGATCTTAGCAGACATGCAGGCGCACAAGCCATGAATAGCCTTTAACTTTAGACATGCTTGATGTTTACTATAGGTTTGTTTAAACGTGTTAACAAAAAAGGGGTTGTGTTCATTATTACACATGTTCAGGGTAAACTAGTTCTGAAGGCTTCTCTTACATAAAGCTTGTGGAGGCCTTTAAAGTCGTCCTCCTTGATGTCAGTGATGTCATTGTTTTGGAGGTCTATCATTATAGTGTCTTCAGGAATCTTCTCAGGAACAGAAATCAGACCTGTTGGCAGAAACACAAATGCCTGATTAAGATCCAGACTTGGACTAAAACTAATGAAAATCAGAGCCCATACATGTTGCATATAATACATTGTTGGACTTCAGACTTAAACTCTGCCATCCCAGTTCTCAAATAATAATAGCTCAGTGATTTTCTGATACAGGAGAACATGCAAGACCATACATGATGTTTCAGAAACAAAGCCATGGGATACTGTTGTACTGCACCTACAACTGTGGCAGTTACGCCCAAGATTTTTTCATTGCCTTAGGTCCTAATGTTGCAGTAAATAATGTTAAATCTACAGACTCTAGGGTCTCAAAGTATCAAGAGTTGGACTAATACATTGTTGGTTTCTTTGTCTTTTGATTCGTTGTCAAGAAGAAAAATATAAGAACACCAGATTTAGGTATGTGACTTAGCATCACGTAGTGTGATTGCATTAAAAATTTTCAACACACAGCTTATATATAGTAGCACATGGATGCAGATGTATTCCAACTGAGTATGTTCTGACCCAGGTCGGAGCACTGCACCACTTTTGGTGAGCAACGGCAACCGGCTGGACAGTTCTCATCATCATCATAATCGTCGTCGTCATCGTCATCGTCATCTGAATCAGCCATCATGATGTCATAGTTTTTCATGAAGTCCATGATGTTGATTGGCTGGTAGGGTTTGGCGTTGCCAACCGCCAGTAGGCAAAGCAGGAGGAAGACCCTCATGGTTTTATTGGAAGACTGCTCAGTGAAACAACAACCAGGGAGAGCTGTAGGAAAAGACAGGGGCTCAGTTAGCATTAGGCTCCAAACCAAGAGACAGGACTAGACTCTGATGTGATGGCACAGAGGAAATAACCTGTCTAAGCAGTGCAGTTTTTTTCTGCTGTTTTATTCCACCATCAACAGAACAGAATGCACTCTGTCTGCAAGAATGACTCACCATAATGGTATCAAGTAAAGGTATCACTAGTTCTAATGTACAGTGGCATGTTTTAGAAATGGCAAGGCCTGTGAAAGTTTGTCACGGTTGATGTGGAATCTCTCCGTCTCTCTCAGCATGGCTTTGACATGCATAAACCACTGACTACTACAATGTTTGAAAAGAGAGCAAAGATGGCAAATGGTTTTATACTTGTACAGCGCTTTTCTATGCATTGCAGCACATTCAAAGCGCTTTCACACTATTTGGCCATTCACCTATTCGCACTCCCAAGCGCACACACACCGGTGTATCACCGGGAGCAACTCGGGGTCAGTGTCTTGCGCAAGGACACTTCGACATGTGGACTGGACAAGCCGGGACTCAAACCACTAATCTTCTGATTAGTAGATGACTTGCTATTCCTCCTGAGCCACAACCACCCCCAAAGAGGAGTTTCACAGTATCTTTCTTTTTTTCATTAGTTTTAACCACTTCAGGTTTTCACTGATCCATAATTTGGTGAAATACAACAGGAACCAACCCAACCAGATTATCCTAGTATCCAGTTAACCAACAGGATGCAGTCCAGTACAACACTACCTTTAACTATGACCTCAATAATAAGCATATAATTTATACATGTTGACAATTTCACCAATAACTAAAACATTTAGAGCTTCATAAACACAGAAATAAGGTGGAAATATTGCATTGAATTGCATATAATTCTACAGGTGTACCTAATAAAGGGGCTGCTCAGTGTATTATAAAACTTAGTTAATCTTTGCACAAGAATGCATTTCAGTGCTGAACCACATTGAGGCGATTTGTTTCATAAATATGTTTGAGCTAATGAAGCTAGTGCAACCAGAACTGACCCTAGATCACAGCACAATACAGAGGTGGGTTTACACAGCGGTAACCATGGTGACATGATACAATCTTCTGGGCAGCAGATTTACTCCTGTTGATGGTTTTCCTTGTGTGCTGTAGTGCACTTAATAGGAGCCACCAGTCTAAAGTGTTGGAAACATTTCTAAAACTGTAGTTACCCTTATGCTCAGCAGCACTAGAGTTCAGTTTCAGTTTTGCTGCCTGATTTAGGAAAATATTACTACTAAAACAGTAAAGGGGGACAGGGCATGCAGAGTTCCTGGAGTGATTGGTTTCAGTAAGCACTGCACTTTTTTTCTACCACTGTTTCCATGAAGCTTTGAAGCACTTGGGTTCTTGCAGCCAATGTAAATGTTTTTCCAGCTCTCACCTATTCACCATCTGTAACGATTCACAAAATGATTTATATATCCTCCTATATTACATATTCACGCAGCCAGCAGTGAGAGGCCAGGGATCGTATGGTTGCATGTTTCTGCTAATCTTGATGGATTCTGAGCCCTTTCGTTGAGCATTCAGTCCACCCACAAATATGTGGTAGTGGTCCTGCTGTGAAGCAAATACCTCTCAGCACAGACCCTTCCTCTGAACCCAGACTGTCTTTTATTTCATAAGTGCACATTTTGCACAAAAGAGTTTGTTTCTTGATGTGTGTTTTACAACTTATTGGACTTCTGCTTTAGAAACGTGGCAGTAAATTAGACATAACTCTGTTGTTTATTGTGTTTTCATTCACTTGACCAGACAGGCATTGAAAACTAATCCAGTATTACCTCATTTAACTCCAGTCATACTGGTTCAGGTAAAGCATTTTTGTTCACAGTCGAGTTATTCTCACATTTCATGAAACATCTAAACCAGATGGCCGTCCCCAGCCTTTTCCCCCTTATGATCCCTGCTGCCTCCATCAGGACTCTCATATCTCACTACCACTAATGGCTACAACTAGTGGTTGTTTTTACGAGCAAATGATCTGTCAGTTATTTTTAGATAATTGGAATGGTGGTTTAGTTTATAAAATGTCAGAAAACTGTGAAGAAGTTCCAACCATGACCACTTCAAGATGACTTCTTCAATCCGGAGTCCAAAGATATTTTGTTTACAGTTAAAACAAAAAACAACAGCAAACCCTCGCATTGGAGAAGCTGGAACCAGAGAATATTTGGCATTCTGATTAAATAACAGAAAATTAATTTTGATAGCGAGCAATTATCACATTTATTGCTCTAATTTTTATCATTAAATTGTTGTAGTACTTATACCAATAAAAGATCATGTCTGACAGTTTCCCTCAAGTGTTTACAACCTGTGATTAGTGTACTCCATGCAAATGTACTTAGCATTTTTGTCAAGTGAGATAAGACTCCAGACAAGTAACATATAAATGACTTCAACACTGAGCATAAAACTCAACCATTAAACATTGCTCCCTTCAGATTTTTCCCATTAGGAAGTTCACTTAAAACATCAAAATTGGTGTTGTGCTTTAAAATTTGCATGAAAATCAAACTCACTCAGAAATATATCCATTTGAAATATTGTCCTCCTGTTTCTCCTACAGTAGAAAACTAGATCAGATGGTGAAATGAAGATTTTCATGCAGTGGCTCCAAATGAAACACCTCCACCGCCTTTAAGCCTTATTCAGCAGAAGTAAACTGACCTAAAGACCTCAGAGATGCTGTTTCTTTGACAATCAAACATGCCAGCTTGCCTAGTTGAAAACTTAGAAAGTTTAGTTTTTTTGTTTAAAAATCCAGGGTGTGTCCTACCTCAGGTGTGTTTGTGTCCTGGTTTAAAGCCCACACAATGAGCAGAGCGCACAGTCCAGCTGGAAGGCTGAGAGTTGGATCTTCAGTCATACATTCCCAGTGAATGGACAACAGCATCACCCTCTCTCTCCAGGAAAAAAAAAAAAAACAGCCCCCAGAACCCCCCACCAATGGAAAACCTCTGCTGTTAGGGTGAGTTTCAGTAACGTGCTCTGACTCTCTCAGTGATCACACCATCAGTATGTCTCAGGGACTACATTTGAAAAGGCATTATTGGGACGTTAGTCATATGTTTTCCATCAGGAACTTTGAAGTGATGCCAGGATAGTTAACGTCAGACTCCTGAGTGCACAAGTCTTTGTACAGAACTTACTGGTAGGTCTGTCACCTCCCCTCTCCTCATGGGAACCTGCCATATTGAATATCTTACATCAACATGAATGGTTTCTACACTGTCTGAGGCCTGTTGGCGCTGGGTTAAACAAGAATAGTTGGACTGTACAGCTGCTGTTGCTGTTTGGGTTTTCTCACTGTAAACATCAAGGTTATTCCTTCATTTGGCTGTTTCCTCTTGTCTTCCATGCTGACCTAAAGTCCATTTAGACAAACATGAGTGAAATTATCAGCAGGAGGAGGATGTGTGAGATGTAGTGAAGCTCTAGGTAGGTCTTCATGGTGAGCAGCTCAGGATGATGAGCTGGCTATTATTGATTCTCTGATAAAAATCCCTAAAAATGCAGAAAATATACAGAAAGTCGAAATGTCAAGGCACAACAACGATGTCAAACCTTCCTCGGGGAGTGAGAATAGAAGTACAGACTTTTTGAGATGTTTTCTACAATTTAAGGAAGTTTTTCACTATTTTCTAACATTTTTAATTAGACAGTCTCAGTAATTAATACAAAAAACACAAGAAAAGAAGTTTTTAGAACGTATTTCACCTATGCATCTAACGAAAAAACGGTGTTAATCAGAGCAGTACCATCTATATTTTCATTCATGCCAACTGCATGTATGAAATTGTGTATCCAGCAAAAATAAAACGTGAATAGGAATACACTGAGTCCAAATTTAAACTCTTATCATTCCAGCACTCTTATATATAATAAAGAATAAGTGGCAGAATTCTCTTATAAATGCTGAAATTGATAAGAACGTGTGACAGTGATTTCACTGTGAGAAGAGGTGCTGAGCACCCCCTTACAGTCTAGTTGTTTGTTTAGGCTCCAGCGAACACTAAGTTTTCACATCTATTGTTGGAAGAGCAGAGAACACTCTTCTTCTTCAATTTCATTATTGTTGTCCATTCACTGGGAATTACTTTAACAGATAGATAAAGCCAACTAAGATTTATTCTCTCCTGTTTCAAGATTGTGACAGTCATTTTTCAAAATATTTAAAACCAAATGAGGACAGACAAATTTGCTGAATGACTTAAGACAGATGAGTCTTCAGTAGTGGTACAGTCAGAGGTTTCTCCTTGTCTTGTAGATTTCCTCCTTAATTTAAAAGCAGAGATGAGGAGAGGCAGACGATAAACACCATGCAGTAACAAATGTCTATTTTGTGTCGGGCTCTGCATGATGTGTACATTACATTAACAAGGCACAACAGGAAAGCTTTCAGCTTTACACTTGAAGCAAAAATGTGAAATGCCTCCCAAGAATGGAAAAGCTAACAGGAGCTTGCTCCCTTAGGGGTTTGTGTGTTATACTATTCCTTTTTTCCATTTAGTCCTGGTATTTTCTGCTGAGCTGAGCTGGAACGGGCTCTGAGTCAACTTATGGCAGAGACAGACCCTCCAAATATGCCCTGGTTTGGCAGTCAGATGAACCGAGATGGGAATGAGACTATGTTCTGGTTTCAGTACATCTACTCTGAGAGGAAATCATTTTTTCCAAACCATCAGAGATCTGGTTAAAGGATCATCTCACCAACAAGGAGCCTGCTTGTTAGTTTTTCTAGTGCAGTATTCTGTTCTGGATGGTTTACATTTACAAACTTACAAAGCTATGTATTATGTGTCGTTGCACAAATATTTAGTGATTATTCTCAGATGACTCTTTCATTTAAGTGTCTTTTTGAACTGTAGGGGTGTCTGTTTATAGATATGTCTTCTCAGTGCTCGCATGCCTTAAACAGACTCTCCCACTCCTCTTCACTTTTTCTTGTATTCGCATCAGATGAGTTGTTCCTCCTTGTCCTCACCTAGGTATA